CAAGGGTAAACTGATCAGCCTCTCCTGTTGGAGGGCCATAAAGGTAAATGTTCCCTCTAAATTGGTTGGACTTAGGCAATTGGTCCGCTCTGGAAGTAGAAGTGGATTGGGTCACGCCTAGCCGTTGTGTCAGTCCAAAACACACACACACACACACACACACACACACACACACACACATATATTAATTTTAAAAAAAACCTCTCATGATAATACAGACGATAAAAGGAACAAAGGTCATGCCTACAACACAAGGTACTCCTATAATCCAAAATAATACAATAATAATTTGAATAATGAGGATGCTCAAAGTTCAAACAGATCAAAATATGTGGAGGCAACAAAAATTGAGTTAGTGGCAGAAGAGGATCCCCTTCCTAATAATGTTAAAAAAGACATGGATTTACTCAAGCAATCTTGGGCTAACATGGCAGATGAACCAGATAATCCTGATGAACTTCAAGTGGTTATCTCAAAATAGTCCAAGAAAAAGACAAAATCAGTGCAAAAATTGAGCAAGACTAAATCAAGCACCAGAGCCAAGGCATTTTCCCTAAAAATTGCCCAATGAAGTATTTCTTTTGGAATGTGAGAGGGTTTGATAATCACCCCACAAAATTATCCTTTAATATCCTCCCTAACTAGAGTACTAATTTCATTGTCCTAATTCCTAAACGCCCAAATTCCATTTTAGTGAACCAACACTGGCCAATAGCTTTATCTAATTTCAAGGTTAAAATCCTCTCCAAAATCACAACTGATAGACTCTCCATAATCATGCATATCCTTATCTCTTCTAAGTAAAGTAAATAGACTTTATTAAAGGAAGATTCATTGCTGAATGAATTTGTCTGACTTCAAAATTTTTAATAAATTAGTTTCTGAATAAACTAATGCTTTGCTTGCCATTTTTCTTAGCCAAGAACAAATTCAAAATGTTATTTTTTCCTTGAATAAAGATGGCTCTCTAGGGCCTAATGGTTTTGGAGGATTCTTCTTCCACCATTTTCGGGATATCAACAAGATTGATGTGGTTGATGCAACCCTTCAATTTTTCTCTTCAGGTTGGATCCTCCCTAACTAGAATGCTAATTCCATTGTCCTAATTCCTAAATGCCCAAATTTCATTTTAGTGGACCAATACATGCCAATAGCTTTATCTAATTTCAAGGTTAAAATCCTCTCCAAAATCATGGATGATAGACTCTTCATAATTATGCTTAGCCTTATCTCTTATGAGCAAAGAGGCTTTATTAAAGGGAGAGCATTTGTTTCACTTCAAAAGTTATCAATATGTTGCATGTTAAGTCTTTTGGTGGCAATATTGCAGTCAAAGTTGACATCAAGAAAACATTTGACACTTTAGACTGAGATTTCTTATTGAAAGTGTTAAACAAGTTTGGTTTCTCTGAGCAATTTTTTTCTTGGGTTAAATCCATTATTCTCTCTGCAAAATTGTCTATCTCTATTAATGAATCTCAGACTGGCTACTTTGACTACAAAAGAGGGGTGAGACAGGGAGATCCCGTATCCTTTCTCTTATTATTTATGGCTAAAGATGTGCTTAGCAGGGCCATCGTCAATCTTGTTGATACGAGAAAATTGGACCTCATAAAATGCCAAAAAATATCTATGGTTCCCTTTCATCTCTATGTTGATGACATAATGCTCTTATGTAAGGATAGAAACTTAAACATTTAAGCTCTCAAAGCCCCATTTCTGAGGTATGTTGAGTGTTATGGTTAACATGTAAATCCTCAAAAGTCAATTATTTATGCAGGGTTTATCCCTCCTTATAGACTCCCTCAGATGGGTTAGACTCTTTGTTTTTCAGAAGGCCCTCTTCCATTCTGTTACCATGGTGTTCCTATCTTCAAGAGGAAGCCAAAAGATCTTCATCTCTAACCTATTATAGATAGGATTAAAGCTAAATTAGCAACTTGGAAGGCCTTTCTTCTTTCAACGGCAGGTAGAATGCATATAATTAAGAGAATTATCTATGATATGTTAATTTATAACTTTCTTATTTATTCTTGGCCAATTAGTCTCCTCAAAGATTTGGAAAATTGCACAATAAATTTTGTCTGGAGTGGGGACACTTGCAGAAGAAAACTCATTACTATTGTTTGGCACAAAGTTTGCAAGCATCACTTTGAAGGAGCTCTTGGCATTAGATCTTTATCTGGAATCATGATGATGCTAATTTAAAACTCTGCTGGGAGCTCTCAACCTCTTCTAATCACTGGGCTCACAACCTCGGGCTTAAGGTCCTTAGGAATATAAAAAAAAATTATCACATTTTCCCCCCAATTTGGTCTGTAATTAAAAGTCAATTCCAGGTGGTGGTGGATTATTCCAATTGGAATATTGGTAATGGGAACTCAATAAACTTCTGGACAAATTAATGGTGTCGAAGGCCTTTGGTAGATCAATTTCACATACTTCACCATAACATGTTTCTCTCAATATTTTAAAAATCGGACCGATCATCAAACCGGTGAGAGTATTGGGTCACTGATTTATCGATTGAACCACTGGGTCACTGGTCGAACCACATGACTAAACCGGATAACTCGGTTGAATAGACCTGTCATCATAACAAAATTATATCGGTATTAAACTGGTTGAACCGGATAATTCAGTCTCTAAAAAAATATAGCTAACACTTAATTTTTTTGAAAATATCATATCATAAATTCTCAAGTTCATAATTTAAATTCAAATTTTAAACATAAGTATCAAATACAATAAAATAGTAAAAAATTACAAAGTCTAATTGCAACATAATATAATTGAATAATTTATAACAAAATAACTCCAATGTCTACTTAAGTTTAGTTCCAAGGAGGTAAAATTATTCCAAGGAGGTAAAATTATTTCAAAACAATGATAACAAATTTTTTTTTTTTTATTTTTATAACTCAAAATGACATTGTTTGCATTTAAATTTTAATTAAAAAAAATAAATAAAAAAGCATTAGAACCGCCGGTTTACAGAAATCGCCGATTTTCCGGTTTTTCCCGGTCCAACCCGATTTGTACCGGTTTTGACCGGTTTGATGACAAAGGCGGTCCAATTATTGAACCATATCGGTTACTAGCCCGATTCTCGGTTCAACCGGTCTGACCGGCGGGTCCGGTCCAGTTTTTACAACTATGGTTTCTCTCTAAGGTAGAAGATTACATTCAAAACTCTAGGTGAAGTTGCATCCAAACTTGGTTAACTTGTATCCTGACCTCACTCGCATAATCAACCAAGTTTCCATCCATATTGAACCTAAAGAGGTTAAGCTCAGATGGCTTCATTCCATAGAAGGAAATTTAAGTCTTAAAGATGCATATCTATTTCAAGCTCCTACAAGTCAACAACTCGATTGGGCTAAATTGATTTGGAATAGCTACATTCTCCCCTTAAAATCCCTATTTGTTTGGAAATTGATTCGAAAGAAAGTTACAACAGATGAGGTTTTAGCCAACAAAGGACTTTGCCCAAATCCTTCAAAATGTGAGCTTTGTGGTATCTTTGCAGAAACAACCAAGCATCTTTTCCTTTAATGCAGTTTTGTCCAAAATATTTTGAACTGGTTAGCCAACCTTCTCCAAGGTTTCATTCATCTCAACTTTCTTGGAATTTGGGAAGCCTGTCAAATAGCTTGGTCAAAAAAAAGTGAGATAATCATTCTAGTTGATGTTATTAACACATTCAACTGTATCTGACACTGTAGAAATCAGAAAAGAAATTCAACAACAGATACACACATTGGAAAAATGCTTTGAGTCTAATTGTTTCTAACAATGACCTATTTGAAAACTTCACAAGAGTTACATCCTCTAACAATATTAGAGACTTTAGAATCTTGAAAGCTTTTAAGGTCGTCTCTCATCTTCCTAAAGCCCCCAACATTATTGAAGTAATATGGAAACCACCTTTCCAATCTTGGATCAAGTGCAATGTCGATGGTACTTCTCTTGGATTGGAGCCCCGAGTCTTACTGGTTCTGATGGATTTTTCAGAGACCACACCTCCAACCACTTCAGATGCTTTACATAAAATTTGGTCAGACCTTTGCTCTTCACGCATAATTCATTAGAGCTATAAAGGCAATTGAAATTGCTTTCGAGAATAATTGACGCCATCTTTGTATCGAGACAAATTGCAAACTATTTTTAATAACTTTTAACAACACCAATATCGTCCATTGGCAGCTTAAGCATACATGGACGAATTGTATACATAAAACTAATAACATGACTTTTCTTTTGTCTCACATCATTAGACGGAACTATTACGTAGACAGATTAGCTTCTTTAGATCTTTCTATTCAAGATTTTGTTTGATGGAATGAAGTTTATTTGTCTACTTTTGTTGATTTTGTTCACAATAGACTTAAAAGATCTTATTTTAAATTTGTTAACATTTTGAGGGTTTTGACTCTGTTTCCTCTCATATATTTTTTTTAGTTTTTTCTTGATATAATTTTGTTTGGTTAAAAAAAAATCTAACTTATACTAGATATTTGCATCCAAGTGTCTTGATATAATTTTGTTTGGTTAAAAAAAATCAACTTATACTAGATATTTGCATCCAAGTTTCTTAATGGATAGCAAATAATTCTATTCTGGGTATTTAAATTTTGAGCTACTATATTTTAGAAGGTAGTTGAGTTCAACATCAACAAGGAACTTCTAGATGATGCCACGTAAACCTAGGAGACCTCCACATCCAATCTATGACTTTCTCACTCTAAGTGTGTTCTGTCCTATCCCATTAACTATACCCCAAAACTTCTCCACTTAAATCTCTCTCTTCTGTTACTATTTTAAATTCATATTTCACTTATCCTAAGTTTCAATTCCCTATATTTTTGAATTCTGTTACAATCTTATCTTATATCTCTCCCTATATAAACAACACCCTCTCAATTCAATTCAATATCAATTTTCACTCTGTTTTTACTCTGTTCTTACTCTGTTTTCAGTCGATTTGAAGAAAAGTTTCCATGGATCCCAATTCCAATCCCAACTCCAAATCCTCCACCAGATTTCATAACCCTTTTGGATCAAGAATAGTAAAAACTGTGTTTTTCCGAACACTACTTCTTGCTACTGCTATTTCCATCGTTTCGCTTCTTCACTCACTACCCACCATGGATTTAGTTCCCAAAACCTATGACCACGATTGCACCATTGAACTCGAAGATTCAAACATCACTGTATCACCAGGTTCTTATCTCTTCCAGAGTAGAATCATAAACAATTTCTGGGGTTCCTTTGACTCATTGAATTGCAAAAAAGAAATCAACTTGGTTTCAAGCGTAGTCAAAGAGTTGAAATCTCAACATAGACTCATGAATCATAGCGTAGAAACTCTTTGTATTGGTGAAGCTTCAAACATAGCTGTTTCCACTTTGCAGAAACTCGGTTTCTCCAATGTGATTAACCATAGCTTTTTCTCATTCAATAAGAAGAATTTTGTTTACTCGCTTGATCGGTACCGCGACAGTTCGTTCGACTTTGTTTTGTCCGATGATTTCGGGAAAGTTACTGTCCCTGCATTGCTTGTTCTTGAAGTTGAACGGATTCTTAAACCTAACGGAATCGGTGTTTTGCTTTTGGATTTTGATACTGAGAGCGAGAGTGTTTTTTCCATTCATAACATTAACAACATTAACATGATAAGAACTGCTTCACCGGTTTCTTCATTGTTGCGATTTTCGTCTATTTTTCATGTCGGAGTTGTCAATAATCACGGCCTTATTGTTTTCAAGAAAAACTCAGAATCAGAACCAGAACCAGAACCTCAAAGTGAAAACAGAAGGTCGTTATTCTATCATGAAGATCTTCCAGAAGATTGTAGAAGTGTTAACTCTACTAAGAAATTCATGAATCTAATGGAGCCACTTATGAAAGAAAGATCATATGAGAAAAAAATCACTTATTTGCCTAAGTTTGTGAATGTTTCTACATACAAGAAGAATCTGGTTTATGTTAACATTGGTGAAAGTGAGGTTAATTATTGGTTTCCGGAATCTTATCCAATTGATAAGAAAGATTTCAATGTTTACTTTGTTCATTACAACGCTTCCGTTATCTTATCGCACGTGAAAGAACCGCGTGTTACATTTGTTTATCATCCGAAACTGAATGAAAATTACAACCTCTCGCTCGAAGGCGAGGCTAATGACGTGGATGAATATATGGAGGAGGAAGAGTTTGATTTGGTTGTTTGGTTTAAGGAAACCGTGAAGAATGCTGATTTTGTTGTGCTTAAGATGAATGCGGGGAGAGTTGAAATGAAGTTTCTTTATGATATATACAAAAATGGAGTTATGTGTTTTGTTGATGAGATGTTTCTTAGCTGCGAAGAGAGTGAAGATGGTGAAAAATGCATGGATGTTTATAATGGTCTTAGAACCAATGGTGTTTTTGTTCATCAATGGTGGAATAGTGAATGAGAAATTGTTTAAGTTTAGTAGAGATAGAATTTTTTGTTTTGAGTTTAGGAAAATAGGATTTTAAATTTTAATGTTAATGCTATGAGCATGAAGCATGAGTAATTGTAAATAATATTTCTTTTTTTCTTGATTAGGTTTTTTATGTTGTGTGTTTGATTCATCAAAGGTTGTAACTTAAAGTTATACAACAGTATTAAAGGTGTCCAGATCGATACTCTAATCAATATCGCAACACATCAAAATTGTAAAAATTGGTGATGGCGACTTTATTTAAGACATTTGTCATATATAACATATGGTTTGCACATGATTATTGTTGGAGTGTGGAATAGTTTGAGATCTGGTCGTACACGTGTATAGTAATTTTTGTTTGCAAAGAATTTGGTGGATCTTGAGCGTGCTTGGAACATCAATTATTGAGTTAGGGACAGAGGCCAACGCATGGGAAGTAATTTAAGGGCCATAAAGTGGATTCCGTGGAAGATTCTTTCTTAAAAAATTAATGTGAGTTGTGTTGCCTAATACTTTCGATTAAAGTATGTGAAAGCAATGCTTTAAAATAGAACAGAAAACCATAATTCGATAGAAATCGTGGTCCAGGCAATCAAATAACTGAGTCCATGATATTTTTAGTACATGGTTTAAACTTTGATCTGTTTGGTCATTTGGTGGGTGGGATTCAATTTTTTTAAAACATTAATTATAAGAGTTTCTCTGTTGTTAGTATAAGTAAAAGTTTATGTTTTTGTAAAAAAAAAAACAAAGTTGATGTTTTTAAATTATGTTTAAATATTTTGGTTAACGATGCAGAATCGGAAATAGTGAAATAAATTCTTTATAAAAAAGTAGTGAATTAAAGATTTCAATCATTTATTTGTATATTTTGTTATGCAACAAATAAGCTATGTTGGGAGGATTTTTTTAGTATGGAGCATTGAACATTTTGAAACTTTGTTTTTTTAGAGAGACATCTTTGTAAGAGATACATCGTATATTTATTCAAAATCTTAAAGTGATAGGTGTATGAATTCTCCAATTTATAAATGTTCATATCTTCACATTTCTAATTAATGTAGGATGATTATCCATACTACTCACATGTGTAATACTTAACCATGGATAGATGTATGTGGCTTCATTCTGCTCTATTTATTCTATATTAATTAATTTATTCAATTTAAAAGAAAAATAAAAGAGAACAAAATTAATAAGAAATTCTGACAAGTCTATAGAAAGAAACACTAACATGCTCTTCAATTTATTTTATTCATTTATTAGAAGATTTAAAAGAATGAAGGGTTTATTATTGTTCAAAATAAGACTATAATTTGTTAGTCAATCTGTACAACGATTTCTTTCTCGCGATTGTTGAACTTAACATGTCAATTCTTTTGAGTCATTCTTTTGATTATATGAACTAATGCTGAAAAATTATGGTCGTCCATAATCTTTCGGTTGACCTTATATACCAAGACTTTATAGTCACTCCCAACTATTAAGTTTGCAATTCTTTTCTGCCAAGCTAACTCCAACCCATGTAGTATTGTCCACATTTTCGTAGTGTGAGCATCGCAAGAACTGTTTTTTTTACGCATAACCTCTTACCCAATTTCACGAGGAGTCTCTAAATATGTCTCCACATCTAGTGAACGTAGAGTTCTTGTAAACACAATCACAATTAAACTTAATCCAATTGTTATCTAGACGATGTTGGCTAAGCTGTTTGATCTTTGATTTTAAGTACTTGTTTCGTTAAATAACGGAATCATGATTGGAAAGGTTAATAACGAAATGATGATCATAAAAGTTAATCTTATGCAGTGTTGTGGTGGTACAAGGTTCTGAAATTGTGAAGTGGACCCGACCTGCAAGTTTAACACTCCAATGCTTAAGTCAATAAGAGAGCGAGAATGCAGGTGTTAACTCCTTTAAATATAGAGGTTAGTTGTCAATTAAAAGGTGAGAATGAGCGTGAAAAGTGGGAGATCGTCGAATGAATCTAGACAATGAAAAAGAGTGTCTTGATGTTTGCCATAATTATGGTCTTAATTGAGACTGATTAGAAAAACTTATGAAAACTGCTTTTAACTTAAACCTTATTTGAAAAAAACAACTCAATTAAGAATTTATAGCATAAACATTTATCATATGGTGATTTATGAGCTATTGGTTTAACCAAAGATAAAACAAGTCAAATTGTTTTGATAAACTATCTTAGAGAGCTTATGGAAATAAATTAAAAAAAAAGCTTATGAACATGTCATAAGTTCTTTTCATAAATTCTCCCAAATAATTTCACTTGTGTTTATGCAATTTGTCTTTATTTCATCTTTTGTTATAGAAATAGCTTATGCACAAACAACTATGTGATAAGCGCTTAAGCTAAAGCTCGTAATTAAGTTGCGTATCTAAACATGGCACGAGTAGTTTTCAACAGTTAAGTTTTTAAAAAAGAAAAATAGTAATCAGTTTGTTGAGATTGGTCAGCAACAAAGTAACTTTAGGGTTAAGATGATAAGAAATGACTAGAAATTAAAATTTTAATCATTCCTGAAATCACGGCTAACATCAGTATCATTGTGTCTATCTATAAAAAGCAAACCCAAATCACTAAGTACCATGTGGCGACAAGGAAAGACAGTTGTGTCACGAGGTTCTAACAAACAAATTACACATTCTTTTTCAGGATCATCCCCTTCCAAGTCACGTTCAACCAAAGTTCCCATACCATATCTCTCATGCATCTCATACCTCATTCCATTCACCCACAATATCTTCTTAACAACCTTCACCCGGAATTCTCCTTTCTCCTTCTCAAATACGGCTTGAGTTATCTGAGAGTTGTTTGTGTTTGTTTTACTACCAGATTTAGGAGTCTCGTTTGATCCGTCCTCGGCACCAGAAGATACATATACTTTAACTGCAACAGGATAGATGTAACGCCCATTTTAATTATTTTTATTTTCGGTGTTATTTTCATTTTCGGCGTGCTTGTGTGGATTTTGGTTAAGGAGTAAGTTCCATAATACTAGAAAATATGATTAATGATGATAATAATATGATAATTAGTAAGGTGTTACTTTTATTAATATTATTGTTATTATTATCATATTAAATAATATTATTGGAATAATAATATAATTACTGGATTTTTGGAGTTAAAAGAAAATGAGATTATTATTTATTTGGAATAAGAGTGGATTAATTGGGATGGGGGGCATGTTTGGCATTTGGAATTAGAGTTGGAAAGAGAAGAACATGATTTGTGAAGGAAAGAGCACGGTTGATAGAACAAGAGCGATCAAGAGCAGAAGCTTAAGCAAGAAGGATTTTCGTGTGGATTGTGAAGTTTCATCATCATCATCAGAAGCGCATTCAAGGTAGGGGGAATTGATCGGTTGAATTGGTATTTGCATGAGTAATTGGTAGAAAGGGGAAATTCCCTAATCCCCATAGTTCGATGATGAATGATGATGATCGCATGTTTATATGCTATTATTATTGTGTTGTAATGTGTTAATTTCGTTGCATGTGGTTGTGAGCAATTGTATGAGTGTTTGGGGTTTCCGGGTAGTTCGAAATTATGCCAGAACTGAGGAATTGTGTAGAGTTAACAATTAATCGGGCTAAATCGAGGATAGATGTTGCAGTTAGGTTGTGGAACTTTTGTCTGGTATGATGGGGTTTTGTTTGAAGTAGAATCGGCTGAGTTCGGGGCGTGTTGCCGACTCTGGGCTGTAGTTTTATTTTTCTGGAAACGCAGGTATTCGCTGGGCGAACGAGGGGGCGAGCCTTCGCCGGGCAAACTGGGCAGCGAATGCTTCCAGTAGCCTCTGTTTGGTTTCGCCAGGGGTTTCGCCGGGCGAATGGACAGCGAGTGTTCGTTGCGGGGCTTCGCCAGGCGAATGTGCCAGCGAGCTCGACATCAGTTTGTGTTTTGCTGCTGTTTTGTGTTGTTTCCTTGGTGGTTTTAGACCCTTGTTAGTCATGTTTGAGATGAGCTTATTAGTGAGCTGTGGTGAGTGTATGTATGGTGTCGGAACGTGATTCCGTGATATCCGTGTGATTATGATAATTGAATTGGTGTATGTTATGATGGATGACTGTGATGATGGGTGAGATATATTTGATATATGATAAATTGTGATCAGTAAGACCGTGTGCACCTCGTGTGCTTAGGTTCGTGTGTTGTGTGATGAGTGGATCAGTAGGATCGTGTGCACCTCGTGTGCTTAGGTTCGTGTGTTGTGTGATGAGTGGATCAGTAGGATCGATATGCCTTGTGTGCATTATGTTTGAGATGTGGTGTGGTGATTGTGATCAGTAGGATCGATATGCCTTGTGTGCATTGTGTTTGAGATGTGGTGTGGTGATTGCGATCAGTAGGATCGATACACCTTGTGTGCATTGTATGATAAATTGGATCAGTAGGATCGGATGCACTCTGTGTGTTTGGTGTGTATACATTATATGATGCGATAGATCGGTAGGATAGTATGCACCGTGAGTGCTGTGTTGTTGTGCATAGTGTCTGCATAGCATGTGGATGTGGTGAATCATTGCTCGGTGGAGTGTATGTGATTCACTCACGTGCTCCAAGTGGGGAGCGTGGACGTGGTGTGTAATTCACTCACGTGCTCCAAGTGGGGAGCGTGGATGTGGTGTGTAATTCACTCACGTGCTCCAAGTGGGGAGCGTGGATGGGATTTAGATCGTTGCTCGGATGGAGTGTATGCGATCACCCGTGTTCCAAGTCGGGAACGTTGGTAGGGATAGATTGTTGCTCGGATGGAGTGTATGCAATCTATCTTGAGATTTGATTATATGGGCTCAGGAGGAGCATGGTAGGGATAGATCGTTGCTTGGATGGAGTGTATGCGATCTATCCTGAGTTGAGTCGGTACCACATGTTGTTGAGTCGAGTGCATGTGTTGCATTGTTGTATGTGTGTTGTGTTGGCATGGGACAGTAGGTCCGGATATGTTATATGTATGAAATTA